TTGTGCCCAATGAAGCTTTAAAAGAGTGGAATTTTAAGGACTCTCTTTCCATAATTGAAGACGACTCAAAGCTTGTGATCAGTTGTCTCAAAGAAAAGATGAAGCCCTCGTGGAGATTGGAAAGCATCATCAGTGAGTGTCTCATCTGCTCATCCGTTTTCAGTTCAAGATTTAGTTTCCAGTATGCATTTCGTGAGGCAAATTAGGTAGCAGATTGGCTTGCTCATAATACTCCTTCAATGGGTTCTGTCGGTTCAAGCGTTGTCCTAAAGCGTCTTAGGGAGATTTGTTTCTTTGATTCTTGGGGTAGAACTACCCTTGTCTTGTGTATCTCCTCAGTGGTTCTATAATAGCCGATGAAGATACAACGACTGGAGCGAACTGAATAGTTGTCATGAGTTCACTGTATAGTGTGAGAGTAACAGACATCCAAAAACTCTGAGGTGGTCATAAGATGACCTTTTTCCAAAGAGAAATTCATATGGGCTTTGCCCTGATAGAACTGGACTAGGTAAATAATTGATGATCTTGATGGGAAGACCAGCATGGAACCTTAAGGCTCTTGCCACTTCTAGTAGATGACGATGCTTGCGTTTGACAATTCCATTTTGTTGTGGGGTGTCGACGCAAGATCGTTGGTGAATAATGCCATGATCACACAAACTACTGCTTTAAGGGTCCATAAACAAACTCGCTACCATTATCAGATCCGATCCCTTTTATTTGAAGACCAAATTGAGTGTTCACCATATTACAAAGCATAATAGTGTGAACAAGAATCAGATTTACATTTTAACAAGTAAACCAACTTGTTATTGTGTACAACCATCACAACAATCTATTTTATTGGGTACAACCATCGGCAAATCTTTTATTTTTGAGATACTATTGAAGGAAGCATGGCCCAACTGATGGTGCCAAATGCTTGTAGGTGTGGTGGTATGACTGGTGGAATGTAGGGCTATGATGGGAGATGAAATAGTTAAGTAGTAGAGACCATCACGCCTTTGACCCACTCCAATTGGCCTCTTGGTTGTTAGGTCCTATAAAATACAAAAGGTGGGGAAGAACAACACAATGCAGTTGTAATTAGTAGGGGTAAGCATTCGGTTTATTCGGTTAAAAATCGAACCGAATAAATCGAAATTTTAAAAACCGAATCAAAATCGAAATTTAGAAAAACTGAAATAACCGAAACTGAAATTTTCGGTTATTTTGATTAAAACCAAATTTTAATTATATATACTTTATTATATATATTATAATATATATTATATATTGTATATTGTATATTATATATTATAAAATAAATCAAATTTCAGTATATTATATATTAATATATAAATATATTATATATTACATATTGCATATTATATATTACAATTATATATTATATATTATATATAATAATAAAAAGTTTGGTTAATTCGATTAACCAAAATTCTAATTCCAAAAACCGAAATGACCAAAAACCGAAATAGTCAAACCGATTTAACCAAAAATCGGAAAAACCGAACCAAAAAATCCAAAACTGAAATTTTTGGTTCGGTTATTCGGTTTTAACCGAATTATGCTCACCCCTAGTAATTAGATGTGAGTTTGCTGACAGATATAAGGTTGCATCGAAAATTTGGTATGAACAAAACATTGTGTAAGGGCAGATCAGGAGTTAAGGTGACATCCCCTTGGGAGGAAACCGCCATTGTTTATCCATTGGGGAGTTGAACAGGTTTAATCACAGGATTCAAAGTCCTGGATGTGGGAGCCATGTGATCAGAGGCTCCACTATCCAGAATCCATACTTCTGAATCAATGACCCAAGTAGGTGGAGTGGATGACTTACTAGCAAAATTGGCAGATGCCAATGTACTAAAGTTGTTGAGTAGAGAAATGAACTACTAGTATTGTTCCCTTGTTAATCCAACAATCGGAGATCCACTGCAACACTTACATTTTGGATGGCAGCCTCCCATTTGATCTGTCCAATCCATGATCTTGATCTGTTAGTGATCAAGATTTCCCTTTGCTATCACAATTTGGAGGATAACCAACCAACTCATAGCACCAGTCTTTAGTGTGACTAGTTTTCTTGCAATGGTTGTAATAGTATTGCGACCAGTCTTTAGAGTTCTTTGTATTTAGTTTCTGTGAATTGGTTACTTGAAATGTCGATGCATCAGATGTTGGAGATCGTCCATCGGATAGTGTTTGGTGTCTTTCATCTTGGAGTACTAAAGCATAGACTTTCCTTGGGTTTGGTAATGGTTCCATTCCCAAAATGTTGGATCAGACATTACTGGATTTGTCACCGAGTCCCGTAAGGAACTGATATACTCGCTCGCATTCTCGCTCAAGGAGGAACTCTTTCGAAGATTCACACGTACACAGGCCATAGGTGAAAGCGGGAATACTGACATAGACAACAAGCTCGTCCCATAGGCTCTTCATTTTTGTGAAGTACATAGTAATTGAAAGATTGTCCTGTTTGAGAGAGCTCAATTACCTCTTTAGGTGAAAGATTCGAGGAGCATTGCTTTGAGAATACATGTCTTCAAGATCTTTCCATATGTCCCTTGCACTATCGATGTAGGCCACACTATCGTGCAGATCGCTCGTTAGAGAATTGTAGATCAATGAGATTACAATAGACTCACAGTGTTTTCAGGCTCGTTGCTCCATTGGTTTTCTTGAGTCTGCTTTTCAATTGATCCATCTACAAAACCGAATTTGTTCTTGGCCCATAGAGCATTCAACATTGCTCTGTGCCAAGTTGTGTAATTATCGACATTGAAAGGAGACGACATGAGTATAGCACCCGAATTATCAGATGGATGTAAGTAATAGGGAGAATTTGGATCCGTCTCCATGTCTACTCTGTTTTGATCGCCGGTGACTTCTCCTAAAGTCGTAGTGATCGTTGATAAGAGATGACAATCTTGATCTTAGCAATAGTGGTGGCTGAGTTTTTCCCACTCTGGTACCATGAAAAATATTAGACAATAGTGAAAATGAACAAAATACATATGAGATGATGTGGTGAGTTGTACCACGTGAATCGCAACAAACTAATTACAATAAATTAACTAATTTTGTTATTACCCCCCTCAAGTTGGAGCAAGGATGATGCAAATGCCCAACTTGCGAGTTAAGGAAGAGAATTGATCAATGCCCAGAGCTTTTGTGAGAAGATCAATAGGTTGTTCTCTACTGGGAAGATGATGAATAGCAATCTCTTTCTTGGCAAAATGTTCATGAATGAAATGGCGGTCTATCTCCATGTGTTTGGTATAATCGTGATGAGCTGGATTGTTGGCTATGTGTAAGGCCACTTGGTTGTCACAATATAGATGCATTAGAGTAGTCACTGAGATGGTGAGATTAGTTAGTATATGCTTCAACCATATTATCTCTATAGTTGCAACTACCATTGCACGGTATTCTGCTTTAGTAGAGGACCTAGAAACTATATTTTGCTTCTTGGTCTTCTAGGAGAGTGGGGAATCACCTAACAATTTAACATAACTTGTTGTGGACCTCCTAGTTAAAGGACACGTGGCCCAATTTGAGTAATAGAAGGCTTTAATAGCTAACCCAACTGTAGAGGAGAGGAAAATGCCATGGGTTGGTGTTGCTTTAAGATAACGTAATACTCATAAGGCAACATCAATATGTTCTTGAGTGGGCTTTTGTAAGTGTTGGCTTAGGATGTGAATAAAGTAGTTGAGTTTTGGCCTTGTAACAGTGAGGTATACAAGGTGGCCCACAAGTCTTCGGTATTGAGTAGGGTCTTCCAAGAGAGGACTAGAGGAATCATGAAACTGACATTGTTGCTCCATAGGTGTAGGGCTAGGGTGGTACTCAACCATGCTTTTATCTTGTAGAAGATCCATAACATATTTGTGTTGACATAAGAAGATGCCAAATGCAGAGCGATTGACTTCAATCCCCAAGAAGTAGGTGAGAACTCCAAGATTTTTTATGTGGAAACAAAAACATAAGTACTGCAATATAGGCATTAAATTGCTGATAATAGAATACAGAGTAATCAGCGGTAGATTGGGTGAAGCCATATTGTTTGAGTGCAATGGAAAATTTTTCAAACCACATTCTTCAAGCTTGCTTGAGTCCATAAAGAGATTTGTAGAGTCGGCATACCAAGTTTGGTGTTGTTTTGTCAAAATCTTAAGGAATCTTCATGGAGATCGCTATTAAGAAAGGCATTGTTTATGTCAAGTTGGTGTAACAACCATCCCTTAACTACGACAACTGCAAGAAGGCAGCGAATTGTTGTATGTTTAGTGGGGTGTAGGTGTCATGATAATCAAGGCCCTCTACTAGGGTATACCCCTTGGCTACAAGAAGAGCCTTGTATCCTTCGATGGACCCATCAACATGAAATTTGATTTTGTATACCCATTTGGATTCAATGGGTCATTTGCTGGGTGGCAACTGATAAGGATTAGACTCTCAACGGAAGCTCAAAAATTGCGTTTTCAGGTTTATCTTGGGCTTATCTATGTTATCCTCCATATTTTATTTTTTGTACTATTAGACTTCTATTAGGACTCGTCTATTTGTATATTTCTTCCACATGTACATAGGATGTATTCAATTGAAATCTATATAAACACACCCACCAGGCGTAAGCCGGAGTGTGAACTTTTCTCTCAACCCTCAACTATTTTATGATATCAGAGCTATATCAGACCTACGTCAAAACACCATGTCAACTCCATCCATTACCCAATCCATGTCATATGAGAGTCAAACTATTAGCCAAAGCGGAAGGATACTAAATCTTCCAAACACCTTTACTGTTCGTCTACATGGAACCAATTATTTGCTTTGGAAGTTATCCATTCTTCCAGTTTTGAGAGGAAACCATCTATTAGGTTTCGTTGAAGGCACAGAAAAATGCCCACCCAAGCAAGGCAACCACACTGACACAAGTCATCGTAAGCTCGACCTATCGAGATTGGGTGTAGCAAGACCAACTATTAATGGGTTGGTTGCTTATGATACTTACTAAACTGATACTTGCACATGTTATTGGGTGCACCTCCTCCCGATCTATACGGATAATCTTGGAGCAGTTGTATGCTTCAAAATCAAGAGTTCGGGTCATGCAACTTCATTTTGAATTGCATAGTTTGAAGAAAGGGGCTCTCTCCGTTCCTCAATATCTTCAAAAAGGAAAGAATCTCACAGATAATCTTACTGCAGCAGGTGAGCCTCTCTCTGACACAGATTATATTCTCACTATTCTTAGTGGGCTCAGTTCAGAATATGAATCATTTATTACTGCTGTCACTACACGAGTTGATGCCTACACAGTGGAGGACATCAAAGGTATGTTACTTAATCAAGAAATTCAATTGGGTCAACTCAAAGGCTCCCATGGTTCTCTTGATTCAAATTACCCAGTTGCTAATATGGCTGTTAGGGGTAATGCTAATTTCAACAACATAAATGATTCTCATAATTTTTCTAAGGGCAACAAATCTTACCCTCAACTTCTAAACCTCAATACAAGTGTCAGATTTGTTGGGGTAAGAATCACTCTACCTTTTAAGTGCAAATACAGGTTTGACAAGAACTTTGAAAGAGAAAATTTTAAACAATAGAAGCAAGCCTTTCATGTATCTACTGACTCATCACATGGTGAAGCTTGGTACCCTGATTCAGGTGCAACGAACCACCTTACGGTTGATCTTTCCAATTTGAATGTGCATTCAGAATACACTGGCCCGATCAACTTCGTATAGGCAATGGATCCGGTTTGCCTATAAAACATATTGGTTCTTCTATTATTCCTTTTTTAGATCAAAATTTGCATTTGAGAAATATTCTGCATGTTCCTCATATTACCAAAAATTTATTATCAGTTGGTCAATTTTCAACAGACAATAATGTCTATTTTGAATTTCATCCTAATGTCTTTTATGTGAAGGATCTTCTCACCAAGAAAGTTCTTCTTCAAAGGGTAAATGAAGGCGGCATTTACAAGCTCTCCAATTCACATAACGTGGATACACATACACCATTTGCAGATGTTGGAGAGCGCACAAATATTGATGTTTGGCATAGAAGATTGGGCCATCCAACACCTAAGGTGGTTCGTTCTATTATTAATAGATTTTGTTTACCAATAGGTTCTCATAATAAGTTAGAATTTTGTGGTGCTTGCCAAATGGGCAGAAGTCAAAAACTACCATTTTATTTTGATTCTACTACAATGCGTTCACCATTAGAGGTTGTTTTCATAGATGTTTGGGGGCCTGCCCCGGTAGCTTCTCCTCATGGCTATAGATATTATATTCTATTTGTTGATGGTTTCAGCCATTATTGTTGGCTATATCCTATGTCTCACAAATCTGATGCCCTCTCTATATTCATTAACTTTAAGCACCTTGTTGAGAATTATCTTGACACAAAAATTAAGGCCATTCAATCTGATATGGGTGGGGAGTTTGTTAAGCTTCATGAATTTCTTCAATCTGAAGGCATTGCTCATCAATTTGTCTATCCCCATACACAAGAGCAAAACAGTAGAGCTAAGCATAAGCATCGACAAATTGAAGCTATATCATTGACCTTACTTGCCACGGCATCCATGCCCAAACATTTTTGGCTTGATGCCTCTCAAACTATTGTTTATATGATGAATCAGCTACCTAGTGTTGCAGTAAATGGTACATCCCCTCTTGAATGTTTATTTCACAAAAAGCCAAATTATTCTTTCTTAAAAATTTTTGGGCATCTATGCTTCCTGTTGAGTGGGCTGATTTATGTTTAGTTTGTTTTCTTTTAATTTAAGAAGTTTTTGGGCCTTGGGCCCATTAGTCTTTTATTTTTAAAGGAATTGTAAGTACTTAGTTGAGTTGCCGCCCTACTAGGGGCATCTTTGTAAAATCCCATATTTAAGTTAATTATAAATAGAATGWGGGGCTGGCGGCTAGGGTTAATCATCACTATCTTAGTTGACCTTCTTCTCTTTTCTTCCCTTTCCTCTGTCTATTGCTGAAATCCCCAATTTTCTCCTCTTCCTTTCACAAGAAGCTTGGCCGAAATCAGCACATAAGGTTTTCTACTCTTTCCATGCATGCAGCCATATAACAAGGACAAGCTAGACTTCAGATCTATACCATGTGTATTCTTGAGCTATAGCCTCCAACACCATGGCCACTGGGCGCCTTTATATCTCTCGCCATGTAGTGTTTGCTGAAGAATCATTTCCATTTGCTTCTATGCAACCAACTGCAGCTCCTGTTAAATCTTCTTTTGTGTTATTAGATGGGCCCTCAATTGTTACTTCTCAGCCCACTGCTCACAAAATCACTACTATTCCATCCACAACTGAGAAGGCCCACATTCAGGATACTGCTATGGCCCACAACACACCCCCTCAATCTGATCACTCGACTACAGTCATACCCCTTATTTCTAGAGGGTTTGACCCCCCTAGTTCACTAGATAATCATGCAAATATCACCTCTGGCCCTCCCATCAATCCACTCAATACACATCATATGCAAACACGCCTCAACAGTGGTATACAAAAACCCAAAGTATATTTGGCATCTAAACATCCTATTGATGCTTCAGTTGAGTCCACTTGTTATTCTGAGGCTGCCAAACATGCCCATTGGCGCCAAGCAATGGAAGATGAATTTAATGCTCTTTTATGAAATGGGACTTGGACCTTAACTCCTAGACAACCTCATTTGAATATGTTGGGTTCTAAATGGGTTTACAGGATCAAGAGACAAGCTGATGGGTCTATTGACCGTTATAAAGCCCGTCTTGTGGCCAAAGGGTTTCATCAACAAGAGGGCATTGATTACTTTGAAACATTTAGCCCAGTAGTTAAGCCCACCATCATAAGAACTATTCTTAGCCTTGTCATCTCAAATCATAGTCGAATTCTTACATTTAATAAGTTTTCTAATATATTTTCTAATTATTCATTCATTTTATTAGTTTGTTAATTATTCTTACTGTTAAATTAAATAATTTATTAAGTATTTGTCATTTTTGGTATTACTTATTTTGGTAAAAGACTTTTTTGCCTTTCATAATTTTTCAAATTTTCATAACTCTAACTTTCATCTCTATCCAACCTCACCTGCCCATTTTCATTTTAACTCGTTCAAGTCCAATGGTCAGCCCATAGGGCATTTTTAAGTCTATTTCAAAAATTCAGGGTATATTTAAGTCAGTTCATGATAACTTAGGACATATTTAAGTCTTTTACCCTACTTATTTAGGTTTTTTTGTTTTATTGAATTAGCTATTTATTTATTTATTTTATTTTTATTAATGATAAAGGGGGGTGTCATGCAATCCTCACGTGATCACTTGAAACCCAAAGTAGAGCATTAACAGAAAGCACAAAGTCAAAAGCACAGAAAGCTTTTGGGCTTTTCTGTGTTTTTATTTTTTGGAATTTTTATAAAAAATAGGTATCCAAATGCTCATGTTACTTTTCTTGACAACTTTGGAAAGAGTTCAAATATATGTAAAATGCAAATACATACAAAATACAAGGTTTTCACTATACATATTTATATTTGTAGTCCTTCTAAACTGAGCCTATAAGTTCCATTTGGGAAGGGTGTAAAATATTAAGTGGGATGGGTTGGAAGTATACCAGGCAATTGGGTTGGGTGGGTTGGGTTCGGATTGGGTCAAGTTACTTTGGATTGATTTCGGGTCAGGTTGTCAAATGCTAGACCCTAACCTTAAATATTTGGGTTAGGGTTGACCCATGGGTCAAATTGAGTCATCCCAAAAAATGATTGAAATTTTAAAAAATAAAGAAAATTTACGTGAAAAATGTCAAAATTAAAAGAATTAACCTTAAAATTCTAAATATAAAATAAAAAATTTGAATATTTAACAATTTAAAGAGTAAACAATAAAAAGTAAAGACTAAATAGAAAAAATTAAAAAGTGGAAACTTCTAACAATGCATAAATAATCCCAATTAGACTTGACAATCGGGTCAGCGGATTGACCCATGACCCAACCCAACCCAGTTTTTTTCCAGGTCGAGTCGGGTCATTTTCGCATTTGAGTAGCTACATATGAGACCCTAACCCTGCTTTTTCGGGTTGGGTTGGATCGGGTTCGCGGGTTGGGTCAACTTTTTGCCAGGTCTAGTTGGAAGGGTCAAATGGAGCTGGGATTAATATTGCCAGCGTCACAGGTTAATAAATTCTCTTTTGAAGCGGGAAAAAACTGATAACCAAAACAAAACAACAGAAGATCACAGACAGCCAATAAACGACCGTAAAATAGAATTCAATCACATGTAAGCATCCGGTACATCTATTTGATATTGTTCTTAGCATTTCAACTTATAAAAGCATTCTAACCATTCTCCACATTTTATATTTACAGGGTTACAGCCAAAGGTTTCAAAGAAACCCATTTTTCTTGTGCTCAACTGTCGGACGCAGCTCAGTCTGGATGTGGACATCTCAAACTTCAAACCTTGAAAGTCTTCGACTCACCAACCCACAGGCCACAGCATGCAGAAGTCTCTGAAATGACCTAATCTCAAGTTTTGAACTACATCAGCTCCCGAACGCTTGGTGTACACAGATTCAGATTCAGACTTAAGAGTCATTTGCATGACGCTTCGCAATGACAACCTGGAGTTCGAATAAACCAGGAATCACATAACATGGGTAAGAATATAAACCTTGCATGAGAGCAGCTTTGGAAACCCTCCCACCCAACCTCCTTTCCATATCGAGGATGCAGCAAGGGAAATACAACTCGCGTATCACAAGGACTCGGGACTAGTGGAAGGTCTGATTCTGGCAGGCATTCTAAAAGGGTTCTCCAATTTAAAAATCAACCCATTTTTCAAGGAATTCCTGGGAGTAATTGACATTTTATTCAATTGGTACTCAAATTCATCAAGATCGAGATCATGCTCATCCAAACTCCTTGTGATGCCACTCTCCATGTAGCTTTTTCCATTCCCATCAAAATATTCATTGATATCTTCTTCACTGCTGCAGTCTTCACCATCATCATATGTAGTTTTAACCATTGACCAATACACAAAACTTGGGCGGATAAATCTTCACATGAAATGGAATAATTAAGAAGACATTAAAAAATAAGCAGAAAGAGCATGCAGAAATACTTGCAATTATGTATGTATAAAGTATAAAAGCAAATGAGTGATTTTCACGGCTGAACAGAACATAAACATTTATAAAAACATTATATAGGAATAAAAAAAACATACCTGTCACATTTTTTTAATAAGCATGGATCAAATGGGAAGAACATGTCAAGCCTTTCCATCCCACCAAAGGCCTTTGACAAATCTGATTCTAGCAAGTTGTTAAACAGAAACGTCTCTGACACAGTGAACAGGTGAGCAGCTTTTGCCTGACGGAGGAATTCCTCTACAATGGAGGGAAGACACACCTGTTACAACACAAAACCAAGTTATTGGACTTCAGCAGTTGTTACATACGAAATTTATTTACCAACATCGAAACATTCTTCGTACATATTTAAGGTTTGCAGTTGCAGTTTTAGAAAGAATCTGAGACCAGCAATTAGACTATTAGAGCAAGGGGCCTTAAATGAAGGCCTCAATGCTGAATTTTGAGGGTTCATACCTTGAATCATAAGGTCATACCTCACTACATTTGATTTTCTATAGTTCTTTAAGAAAAATTTTCATTTATTATATTTAAATTCTAAACTGTTTATGAATTATATTTGGCATGTGATGAATTATATTTATCATACCTTCAATTTGTTCCTACCACAATTAACTAGAGTTCTAGAACAGAAGACCTAGCAAGTTGCAAACCAATCCATTGGGAACTAATTTATAAGTTTGCTTCATCCTTTTATGCAGTGGTTTGAAAGGTTGCATTGGGTGGGGTTGATGAATTTTATTTCATCTCTATTCTCAGTGATATCTTATCACCATTGTACTCATTCTAATGGCTATCCTTTACTATGAAGGAAAGGAAGAAAATTAAAAAAAAAAGGGAAATATGTCACCTTATGCGAAAAAGGTGAAGACTCCCATTATGCCATATCAGACACTTTTCAATTTGCACTGCCAATTCCATGTCCCTGTGATATGTGGGTATTATAATTTGTGTGTGTGTGTGTGTAAAGTAGAAAAAAAAACAATTGGGCCCAAATAACAATTGTTGTGAGGATTATTTAATTGTTATTTTACAGTTGCTCTTAGTGTGCTGTCAGCCAGTTAGTTTCTTTCTTTCTTATTAGTTTGTTACTAGGGAGTGCCACCAAGGGCATACTTGTAATCTCCTATTCCTTTTATATTAAGTTAATATAAATAACTAAACTGGCGGCAGCCAGAATAGTTTTTTGTCTCTCAATCATATCTTCCTCTTCTCTTTTCCCTCTTCTCTTCTCTTCTCTTTCTCTCTCTCGTCTCTCTCTCTCCATGAATGATTACATGGTATCAGAGCAAGGTTCTGGGCTAAAAAAATCTGTTTCTCCCATCTGAACCTGCTTCGTCCTCTTTCTTCTTTGATTTCTTGGACGTGGAAGACAGAGAAACCCTAGCAGGCCACTTGCAGCTCTTCCTTTGGGTTCTTCCTTGGTCGTAACATCAAGGAGACCCTAGCAGAAGAAGGGCGATACAGAAAAGACTCCCTTCCTTATCTGTTCGATGCTGTGAAGTTAATTTCTGGGTTGGCACCTTCAGTGCTGGACAGGGTATGTGTTCTTATGTTTTTCTATGGCCAATGGTGTGAAGGCCTTACTTTTTTGGTTTTATACCTTCGTTTAGATGCTGGACTGTTAGATTGCATGTGCTGTAGTCGAACTGCTAGTATACTATTCTAACGGCTGGTGCTGGACTGATTACTGGGCTGTTTTAATGGCTGAACCATCACTTAGTTGATTTCAGCAGTTTTTTGTTTTTTCCACATTCCAGAAGTAAATTTCTTGGGGGTTGGTATTCTGATTGTGGCTGTTGTGTAGTTGTGCGGGATTTGGTCTGATTCAGCAGTACTCTATGGCAAACTATGATTCAACTTCATTGGGGGTTACACCAACCCGCAGCACAACTGGTATGGGAAGTGAAAACATGATGTTTCCCATGCCCATTACCCCTTTAAATTGTCTAAACTACCTGGAGTGGGCTAAAAGTGTAAAACTTTATGTAACAGCAAGGGGAAAAGCTGGTTACATAAAAGGAAGGGTGAAAGAACCCAAGAGTGAGACAGCTGAACA